GAAGCTACTTGGATGAGTAGTGAAACATTTCAACTTAGTAAGAAAGAAGTCCAGTTGCCATGACTCAGCTTCCAGATAACCTCATCTGGATGACTGAGAATCTTCACAGATCTAATAAATTGCTTTATTTATAGATCACAAAGGGAGACATTTTAAACCCTAGTGGTATTAGCAAGGGAAATTCTTCTGAAATATAAGCTTTGAACACACACACACACACACACACACACACACACACACACACACACACACACACACACACACACACAAATAATCATATGAGTTCATTGCGTTCAATATCTGTATTGGATGACCTCCAATTCTTGTCGAGAAAATAACAAAAGTGACATGAATATGGTACAGAATACACTATGATGAGACACTAGAAGGAGGGGCTGGTAAATCTTTGTTGAGTGCTTTATACCTAGAGTACAGTGATACCTCGACTTGAGAACGTCCCTACATAAGAACAATTCAAGTTAAGAATGGCTCAGTTTGCAAAAAGTTGCTTCAATTTGAGAACGGAGCCTCAACTTAAGAACCAAAAAAAGGGGGGGAACCCTTTCCTGCCCTTTATTTTGGAACTAAGTTCACCTTAGGTCAAAAGAAGAAAGAATTTTAAAAAAAACCCTAGTGGTAGATACGGATTTAACCGGCTTTGCATTTAGTTTCTATAGGAACTAATGCTTTGACTTAAGAACAGCGCCTTGATTTAAGAACGAAAAACAGCAGATACAGATTAAATGGTTTTCAATGCATTCCTATGGGAAATGGTGCTTCGATTTAAGAACGTTTCGACTTAAGAATGCAGTCCCAATACGGATTAAGTTCTTAAATTGAGGTACCACTGTACTTGGGGAAAGTTGCTATATGTTGGAATCATTACTTGACAATGCATAATCATTAATTATCCATATATGCAGGTAATTTTCTTCATATTTTTGTTAAAAGTTATATTTTTAATTGTAAGCCACCTTGGCTTTGATTTTATTATAGAAAAATGAGGAGAAATGAAAAATAAAAAAATATGCGAAATTAAAATGAATATAAATATATTTACTATATCAAAGAGGTATGAAAAACAGATGCAAGAAAATTATTTTAATGTTAAAATGTATATTTTTTTCTAGAAACCAAAGTGACAGAAAATCACTTTAATGAAATACTGAATTAAGAAAAGCAACAAAGAAAATCATGGAGATCATTTGTGTTTTTACTTGAGGATAAACCCTGTCAAGCATATTTCCAAATAAATATGCATAAGATAATACTATTTGTTATACTAGGAAGTCATTTAAGAGATACCTACATTTTTATCTTCATTGTTTGAGGGGTATATAATGACTAATCAGCTTTTAAAAGCAAAACAATAATAAGGAGTAAAGAAACAACAGTAAACACTGACACTAGTTTAAACTGCCTTAAATTATTAGTGTGCCTAGCACAGTATTTTCTGCTGTGACTGTTAACAGCTCCCCAAGGTCTACTAGCTTTAGACTGGGGATGCCAGAGAATGGATTTGAGGGTTTAAGCATGCAAAACACATGCTCTACCACTGAAGGAAAATCTCTTACCTGAAACACTATTTCACCTTTATATATTAGTTAAGTTTTGGAACTAAGAGAAATCCATCTGGGAAAAATTTTTAGTGTGTGGTTCTGTTTGCTTAAAAAACACGAGGAACACTATGAGTAGATTTCCTCATGAACATACAAACAAATATTTGTTATTTTTGAGACATACACTTTTGTCAATTATATTTGCATTTCTTAAAACACAACACCTCCTTCTTCCTCTTAACTCTTCCTTGACTAAGATACCACTTATTTGTATATTCAAATCATTGGCCAAAATTCTGTTGCTAAGAGTAGGCCTACTGAACCAATGGAAATTTGGTGAGTCAGCTCTTTCATATGTTCCATTGATTCAAATAAGCCCACTCTAACTGGAACACTCTTTAGTGTAGTAAGCCACAGTTAGAGTAGGGCCATTTGAATCAGTGGAACTTAGAGAGAAGTCGACTCACCAAATCCCTATTAATTCAGTAGACCTCTTCTAGTGCAATTTACTATATAAGAAACAGGATTTGGCCAAAGTAATAAAAAAAAATCTTCAGTTAAAATCAAAAGTAAAAAAGACTAAAGTTTTATTACCTGAACGATACAGTATATCTAGTCAAATAGGAGGTTCAGACAGACCACTGCTTCTAACGATAATGGCAAACATTCCAAGGTGCCCAGACCTGGGCCAAGATATTTGTCTACCTGAGGTAAAGGACAAAGGGACAGCTTTTCCCATTACCTGCACATGAGCCAACCAGAGTGGCAGATAAACTTTACTTGACACTAGCAGCATTTTCCACTGTCCCTGAGAGCAGGTTATCCTCAGTGTCTGTTCTACCTGAGGAACTGCCACACTCTTCTTAATGACAGGATTAGTCCTGCAAGGTTCACCTGTTGCCATTTCTGTGCAGGGTTACCAAGTCAGAAAAGTAACGGAGGATACATAGGTTCTTTAGATATAACCCTTTTTCTTTATAATTTCCATGGAGTATGAGCTGATGGTTTCTTATTTTTCTGCCATTGAAGTTTGCAGGGAAGAGATTGTTGCCAAGTGTGGAGCCTAATGACATCTGGCAAATCTAATGTTATGTCCAAAATTAGCTTTCTAATTATGGACTTAGATAGCTCATTCTTTCAGATGTGGAAAGATAATGTTGTTTTGGAAAAAAATGTATGGTTTTAAGATGAAAAAGACATTCTGATAAAATACCACTCACTTTATAAAGACGTGCATATATACAGACACGCTCCTTTACACAGATTTGATATGCATTTTCAGAAAATTACAAGCACAGCATTTTTGTCATGCACTGCAGAAACAGCAGAGCAAATTGTTTTTTTTTATCAACTTCCTCTTATTAAAAGATACGTCAGCAACATCTTGCATGAAAAATAAAACAAACTGAGGAGCAGAGATAATTCACAGTGTTATTTATTTTTGTTTACCACCTAGAAATATGAGACAGTAATAGAAACAAATGGAGGGAGATGTTTTTACAAGATTGGCACTTGTGCCTCATCAAGGGATGTAAAGGGGGCAGAAAGACAATGCATTCTGTTCTGACGGCTCTGCTAACATAAGGAGAGCAGTGCACTTGCTTGTTAGGCAATGCTCAAGGTATGAGTGTGTTGATAAACAAAACAGGCCACCTGAATGATGCAACATCCCAAATACTCTGGTCATGAATTACTAGTGCACCAGACATACTAGAAGAAGTAATTCATTTGCACACATTCAATCAATCAATCAATTACTTTTAAGTCAATCTCCACCAGATGGCTTTTATTAAACACGCTAATACTACAATCCAACTTGTTCTCTATATAACGTACTTGCATTAAAAGCACATGCATCACACTCAGTCTAACTCTGGAATGGAAATAAAAGATACTACCCAAATACTACTAAGCTATTAACTGCAACCTTATTGCTATGAACCCATAAGGTCATACTCATAACAGAAATTTTGACTACTCGTGTCATAGATCAGTTCCCAGTGTTGGGCGTTTCCTGTTAGAATGCAGAAACAGTTGCTATCACTGGTTGTTGGAGGTTTTTCAGGCTGTTTGGCCGTGTTCTAGAGGTTTTTCTTCCTAACATTTCACCAATCTCTGTGGCCGACATCTTTACAGGACAGGAGTTACGACTCTGTGTTCTGGTGTAGTGTGTGAAATTGTTGAGTATTTGTAGCTGTGGGATCAGCTTTTTAACCTTTTCAGAAGATTGGGTGATTATGGTGCTCATGGTGTTTTTTGTTATGGGTGTATTGTTGTGATAAGGGGGAGATGATCTGTCACTGTGATTGATGGGTGTCATTAGCTAACTTTGACACCAGAGTGGTCTTTGACTCACTTCAACACATCATAATAAGAAGTTTAAATCCACAGTAAGCCACAATAGTCAGATCACTAATGAGTCGGAGAATTTATGATGTGAGAAACACGCAGACAACATATAGAAAACCGTAATCTCAAAGAAATCACTCCCTAGATATCTGTGTTACATGATGACAGGTGGATAGACTATGTATATGGTTTCATTTTAAATTATGAAAGTACATACAATAAATGGCTTCATTCTGCGGGCTTAAGAGTAACATTTTTTTTCTAAAACAGTCATATTTTTTTCCAGAGACAAGGAAAAGCAATTTAAAGAGGGGGATAGTGAGAATTTTATGGACATATTTGAAGAAACGAGACCATTGTTCTATTAATGAACTAAAGGCTTTGAGAGTAGATCACATCAAGGGAATAAGAAGACTGTAAGAAAAGATACACCA